TTTATGAAAAATCTTATTTGATGTTTACTGCAGATTTTATTTTACATATTTTTGCACATTTGAAGGTTACTCCAAAATACAGGTAGATTTGACGAATCTTTTTAAAAGTTTGTAATAATTTTTATTTTTGCTTTTTTACAATTTTTGCATTTGTCATGTGTAGAATAAATTCAAATAAAAGGAAATAGAAAAAAATAACAGAAAATTGTTTTAAGAAAAAACACAAGTGCCTCACTTTACATGGGCTAACATTTAATGAAAAGATTAATAATAAGTCGATATTTTACAGACATATCTTTAATATATTAAATAATCTGAACATTATCAATTATAAACCCAAATCAATAAGCATGATTTATCAATATAATCATAAAAACTTCAAGTTAAAACTAGTTGGTCTAAATGAAGATCAGAGCTAGGTAATTGGCTACCTAGTTTCAGTCTGAAACTACCTGCCCCTTGATTTTTCACAAACGGGCAGATGCAATTAATTTTAAATTATAGTAATTAATGAGTAAATAATTATTACTGAATGTTAGTATGTGTTTTGTTGTGGTCTGCTTCAGGTGGCTAGCCTGTTTAAAGAGGTGTTGAGGGGATGTAAATTAGGAACAAAATTTACCCACTTTTTTGTTACCATGACCAAGGGGTCATATTATCTCCGTTCAGCATCTTTTCTCCAAAACTTATATTCCCCAATCGATCAGACTGACGTCTCTGCCCATGAATTTGAAACCGGTATTTTAATTTTTGGACGTACTTTACATGAAACACCTGGGTCATTCTCAAAATTTTAAAAAAAAATGCTCCATTGTTTTTTGTTAAATTTCGTTGTAGAATAGTGTGAAGGACATTTAAGAGAATGGTGATGGTCTCATTTTCAATAAAAACCCTGAGTTTTTGAAAATCGCATAAGTTCAAAATTATTTCAGAGTCTTCCTAGAACTAAAATATTGAAGATAAAGATTTTTTGCCTTAATGAAATCTCTTCCTTCAAAATTTCGAAAATTTGAGTGCTTTTCTCATAATTTTGTGTGAAAATATGGGGAAGAAAGTGCTTGCTGTTTTTGCTCCACTAGTTCATATTTACAATGAATATGAATAGTAATTCTGTTCAATATTTATAAACTCTGAAATTTAGAATTTGTATAAAAAGTGCATATAAAATCTCACAAAAGATATACACCGGTATTGAACATATAATTCATTTTCTATTTTTGCATGATGCTCCCCCCTCCATTAATTGAACTGATTATCTGTCAAAAAACTGACTATTTCTGCCACAGCATTATAATACTTTCTCTTTACTATGTAAGTGCATTGTGAGGCAAGAAAGTAACAAAACACAGAATATACAAAACAATTTTTGAAAGTAGTATGAAGCTGAAAGTGTGGGAAGCATCAGAGCAAATTTAGAAAAGTTGTAAATAACAGAGATGAAATTTTGGGGTCTCTGCTATAATCTGATATTATAATTGAACATTAAAAAATATAAAAACAAGTCGGAAGACATTATTATAAAATAATATTGTAGACTAAGTGAAGAAGAGGGAACCTAGAGAAAGAGGAAATTCTCAGAAGAATGCTGAAAAATGAATATAAATTAAACAAAACATATAAGATGACACAAGCATGTATGTCATTAAATGAAAAAAAAAAATGATGGTTTGCATTCAAGCTCCGAAAAAGTACACTGTGTTAGAAAACAGTGTTTTAAAAATTTACAATCTACTTCATATTCGAAATATTGCATATTTACACTGATAATTTATTTGCTATGAAGTTGATAGTACAGAACAAATTGACAACTGCTAACAGAATAGGCACCCATCTGTATATTTTAGGACAGTCTTTTCCGAATTATTATACAAAAAAGGAAAGAGTTTATTTGAGCAATATTGAAATGAAAACTATTTGGTGGGATGTATGTTAAATATGGGAGTTTTAGTAAGGAAATTTGATTGAGATTGCATATTTCACGACTATTACTGAGGGGTTAATTGAAGATGGGATGAAAACTACCAAGTGAATTAAAGAATAAAATACACAGTAATTAGATAGAATCATTTATTTGCGATAGTTTTGTCAAAATAAATTTAACCTCTTGAGAGCAAGTTTTAGGATATTAATTAAGCATACTAAAAGCAAATTAATTAGCAATGGTGTTTGTTAAACATTGTATTAGAGTGAAAGTTTTTCATAACATTTGGTAGTAGTTTACTGTAGGTAGTAACATTGAGTAGTAGGTTTAAAAACACAGAACTTTTGCATTGAACTTTACTGAACACACTAAAGTGTCATATTCCCAAGACTGGAACTTCCTCCCAGTAACACAAAGATCTGTAAATTCACGTCTTTGGTTATTTGTTGGTCACTTTCCCAAGGCATTTTCATTTGTGTTTTGAATTTTAATTATTCCCTATTATATAATATTTCAAATGAAAAATATATATCTTTTTCTTTCAACTTGAAATGTATTGTTAAGTTAACTAATTTGTAACTTACAAATGTTTAGAAAGTAATAAAAGTTATCTTTGTACCATGAAAAGTGCATAAAAAGTAATTTTCGGTGATGCCCACTTTTTACACAGGAGTTTTAAGATTCTGTGCAATATTTTAGTAGAATTACGAGAACGAGAAAGCGAACTCTAGTTTTTAATTCTCTATGCTTTATTTATTTAATGTTTATGGTAGGGGGAGGGCATTGAAATGGCCTCATTCCCCCAAAATACTTTCAATATCCGCCCTTTGAGGAGGGATGGGGAGACATCAATGGCCGAGCGTCTTTTAGTCAAGTATGGTTGCATCAGCAAACGTATTTGACGGACCCTGCAAGCTATTCTCAAAATAGCGCGAAGGACACCTAATGGAGAAAAAAAACGATCGCGAAAAAATGTAGTGATGCTGCAATAGAACTCAGACGTCATACGATGTGAGTCAAACCTGTAAAACCAAAACGATTATATTGATGGTTATTTCGACAATCTTTTTTAACTCAACAAAAAATATGAGGAGCTAAATCTTTTGAAGCATACTTACAAAAATTTCGTAGAAGTATTTTTGAATATTTTTAATTTTAGGGGGTACTTTACATGAAGCCCCTGGGTCATTTTCAAATTTTCTCAAAAATTGCTCCAAATGTTTTCCTTAAATACCCAATAAGAAAAGAGTGAGAGATACACTTGTAAAGGTGGCATCGGTTCGAGTTTCACTGTTAAATCTAAATTTTCGAAAACTGCAAAAGTTTGGAGTTTTTTCAGTGTCTTCCTACAACTACGAAATAGAAGATAATTTTTTTCTTCAAATGAAATTTGTTCACCATAATTAGTTCTTTTAGCTATTAGACAATTTAGAATGCACTAATATTGTTAAATTTTATGTAGTTGCTAACAGAATTTACATGTATTGTTCTATTATTATTATTATTATTATTATTATTATTATTATTATTATTATTATTATTATTATTATAATGTACATTTATTTAAACATTTTAATAGTTTTTTCGCAATATTGAGTAAAATATAAGGAATATTAAAAAATAAAAAAATAAAAAATTCTCAAAACTGCCCGCAAATTTTCTATTGAAACTTTTGGTAGGGATAGTGCTAAATTAACTGTATAAGACGACATAAATGCCATTTTTCTCTATTCTTTTGTTTTTTCAGAAATTACAGAATTTTAATTTTTTGACATCTCTCTCGCGTCGTTAATATTTACATTATCTGCGATTTGTGTACAGCATTGCTGTTTTGAATACATGTGATTCACAGCATGAACATGTGCGTCTTACAAAGTTTCTCAAAAACTCGAAAAGTTTTCTGGCAGGGCACCGCCTTAGCCGTGACAAGTAACTTTAACTTCCGATGTGTATGAGGCATGTACCCGTATGGTAGTGCAGTGCATGTATGTATGTATGTATGTATGTATGTATGTATGTATGTATGTATGTATGTATGTATGTGAGTCAGCGTGTAAAGGATGAGGAAAGGCAAGGAAGAGGAAGGAAAGATAGCGCGCGGTAAAGTTATTTTGATTAACTTTGGACGGCGGAATACAAAGGTTCAACTAAACTTATTCAAATTTGATTGAAATCACATATTTGGAGGAGAATCGGCTGATTGACAGACAGTAACAAGTTCAATATAGTATGTATAAAATTGTCTACCAACGACGCTTCGCAAAACAATTCAATAATTGTACTTAGCTTCCGTGATAATATTTAGCCTACTAATATTTATTCGCTTATTTTATTTTGAAATAATCAACCATTATGAAACTGAATGCATTTTCATACATGAACAACAAAAAAGGAATCACCCCTTAAGCCTTAAAAATAATGAAGCTCCCCAATGCTAAATACCTCAGCGTAACAGAATGTAACGAAGAAACGGTGTTTCAAGTTCACGGTGCTTTCGAGATCCTCAATATACTTGTAAATGCATGTAGCAACAATAGCCATTTGCTATTCGCTGTAGAGCTATCTCCAACAAACATCAAGGATCCGCAGCTCACGGTTACTGCTGCCGTATCTACTAAGCCTGGGGATCTGGGATATTTATTGATATCTGAAAATTATTGCAGATTTTTATTATGAGGACAACTTTTCCATTGCAAAACAAAATATCAACCACGTAAAAATATTGAATACAAAACAATGCTGTTAAAACATCGGCTTCAAAAAAATCAATGTTAAATCCGTCGTTGATATTATAAAAACATGGATGTTATGAAGAAAAAAAACAACGTCGAGTGGATGTCGCATCTCTAATTAGCTGATGCAATTCCGAAAGAGCTATCTGCAGATTAGAGGAGGAACATGACGCGCTCAGGCGCCGTCGGAAGCAGGTGGGAGTCTGCCGCAACGCAGCGTTGAGCGGAGGGAAGAGGAGGGGGGGCAGTGACCTTGACAATGAGGCCCCGGAGCACGTCCTTGCATCAGCCGGCGCTGTTAGGCAGCGGTTTCGTCAGCCGTGGCGGCTCTTTAAAAAGAACCACGCTGTCTACGTCCTGCACATTCGCCTCCCGGCTCTTGATACGACAGTTGGCGGTTCACCTGCACGAGAGAATAGTTTGCTTGTGCGCTGTGAAATTCATTTTGTGAATTCTTTATTTTCGTCGTATTCAGTGGGTAAGTACTTATGAGATATGTAGCCATACAAACGCTAGAAACATGCGAGTAATGCAATGTTTTGATATACCGTTTCTTTTTGTGGCATTACTCACAATAAAGACGATTGTTTCATGTTCATGTTTAGTTTGAGTGTGCCGCTGCTATAATACTTTTTTCTGACCGGTTCCATTCCTAAGTTGGTGCAATTAATGGACGAATTCGCTACACTTTTTCAATATTACTTTTTCACTTACTATTTCAATTTCACTCGTCTGTGACAGCAATTGATATTCTAAATTATATTTTATCGTATTTCATAAATGGAAATGAAATACTCGCTTTACACTTCCTCGCAGAAAAAAAATTAAGAAATTAGAATTCTAAACCCTAAGAATGAATATTTTTGCTTTTGAGAATAAATATGGAAAATGTGTGAGGATCGGGTGTAAGCGAGGTCAGTTGAGCAAGTGTCAGAAGAATGCATTAATTTCGATCGCTATTTAGGTTGAAAATGTACGTCCGAGCCAAACTATTGCGAGGCCAATACTTTAATAGTAGAAATTTCAAGATGATAATAACAAATAAATATAGTAATAAATTTATTCAAACTGCAATTGGGTATAACCCGGTGGCAGCTAATTACATAAATATGATAATATCGCTAACATGCAAATTATACAGTAATAATATATAATGATATACTATGAGATCTTATTATAACGTGAACAATTGCAGATCAAATTATTGAACTAAGTGAGATACATAAGAAAAAGCGCTTCTGGTCTTTCGTTAGATGTATAATTCGTTTCATTTTCACTCTGACATTTGAACCGACAATTTTTAATTTAAATATAAATACGAATTTGTCCATAAACCTTTACAAAACGTGTCACCGCTTTAAACGTAATGAGCCTTGTGTTTCGTTCAGATTGATAATCCTGCGGCGAGATGGCAGAGAAGAAAGACCCGGGGCCGAGCGTTGCTGTGGGGGTGGAGCCCGGCGCCCCCACGTGCCCGCGCCGGCGCTGGTGCGAGCGGCGCCGTGAGCAGCCCGGCAACGAGGCCCAGGGCGCCCACGGCGGCCCCGCCCACGTCCACCACTGGCACCATTGGCACCACTGGCAGCGACTGCCCGGCGACCAGAAGGAGTGGCCCCCGCGCGATTGGCAGCAGTGGCACGAGCGCCGCTGGCACGGACACTGCCCTTGTAAGTGGAACAATCTGATTTTAAAATTATTCGAGGATCACTGGATAAATACAATGAAGAAAAGGTGATGATTCCTGTCATGAGTCTATAATTCAATTTCAACGTCAGACGATTCGAACTCTTCTGCGAGATCCTCTTCAGTATCTGAAACTATATTGTTATTTGTTACAAACTTTATTTTTACAAACCTATATTGTTTTTTATACTACCACTAAATATTGAATATGGTTGACATAATCCAAATTAATTACAGGTAATTCACTTGTAATATATCTATTGTTAACCTGGTTTTTTCATATTCAGTATTAAAAGCATATAAATATTTATAAATTTTGCTTAAAATGATAACACTATAGTCTGTAACAATGTAATTTTAGATACTAAAGAGAATCTCACAAAAGAGATCAAAACGTCTATCGTTCAAATATAATTTTTGATTTATGACTGAAATAATCCCCTGTTATTTATTATTCTTATTTTAATTAATGAGTGTTTCCGAGCGCGTCAGGTCAAGGGTTGCTAAGGTCATTAGTTCGTAAGTGTAGTGCATGCTTTTGTGGTGAGAGGTGGCGATGATCTTCCCTCGACGGATGATAAGATCCAGCGCCGACCTAGCCGTCGGCTATCTGGTTTTCCCCAACCAGGTATCTCCCACTAGCGGGGCACTAGCTCAAATTCCCGACTGATCTCCCGGCATGTGTGCATCTAAGTGTTGGTGTGTGTAAGTAAGGGGAGAGGAAAGGATAAGGAAGAGGAAGGAAACATCGCGCGCGGTCTGTGGACCGTTTGGTTGCGTAGGCTTCCGCGGCCGGACCTTGGCTTGGCTATACAGGACGAGCCGCTATCTTGGCTATCTGTCACGTCACTATCTATCGCGTCACTGACATGGTGGGTAACGTTTCGGCCAGCGTATTGTGGCCTTCCTCAGAGCGTACCCTACGTTTGTTAGGGCACTGTCCCGGTATTTGCCTGGTTTTGCTGAGTGAAACAAGGGAAAAGTATCCGTCGGAGCAGCCAGCCGCTAGAATTTCCCTCCAGACAGAGGCTGAAGTCGACCTAACGTTGAAACTTCTGGCATCATCGAGGCTCGAACCCAAGGACCTCCTGGTCAGAGGCATTGCACTAACATCAATTGAACCTCTGAACAACCTAACGCGGTTTCTCATTTTGATTGGTCGCCCATTTTGGGTGTAGTGAAGACCAAATTCTTCGGATACACTGCAGAACACGGAAAAATAATGTATTTTATTTCCTTATGCTAAAGTTCAAACAGAGATGAAAGAATAAAATATAAAAATTATGGGACCAAAATATTCAATTTAATAAAATATTAATAATTTTGTAGCCAGCAAAAGAGATATTAACAGGAGATATTAGTATAAAGTGCAAAAATACGTCTCGAGATTGTCTGCGCGATTACAACTTGTGAATACTGATGTTATTTCCTGAAGACATGCAACTAAATTAGCCCAACATAGCAGATTCCTTCAGCCCGGTCGTAGCAATACACCACGAGAATCGATCATTAATTATGCTAACATTGTTTTAAAACAATAATAATAATAATAATAATAATAATAATAATAATAATAATAATAATAATAATAATTTGTATTTCTTGATACTGTATTAATGTTAATCGGAATGCTATTTCTTTGCTGTTTTATTTCTGTTGCCCGAAGCCAAGTTACATACTGCAATGAAATCTTTGTATAACACACTAAAAAATATACAATTAATTATTATAAATATTGCACGATTTCACGATTAAATTATAAATTCAACTACAAACAAAACATGCTAATCGTTACAGCTATAATCTTAACACACGTTTATCCTATTCCATTAGCTTAAAGTATGTGTTGCGTATGTGTGTATTGCAGGGCGTAGCGGCCGTCCCAGTGCAGCTGCTGGACCGCGTGTCCCTCTAGACGATTCCCGGTGGATGGAAGACTACTTCTCGTGGTTCTAGCCGCGCCACTGCCATAGGACCACATGAGGCGTATATTTATTTTGCCGGTGTGCCCAATTTATGTTGCGAGAAATGAGTGTTTCTAGAATGCTGTGCGTCATAAACGGAATTTTCACATTGTGATTCCTACTTTCAACATGTTTTTAATTAGGTTGGAAACCAAAGATATAGTGTTATTTATTTTTTTTATTTCTGCTGAACAAGCTTTTAGAACTTTGATGCTAAATAATAAGTTATTTTGTAAATAGTTGTACATGAATTTTATTCTATGATTTTGTATAAATATTTAATAAATAATAATTCAAAGATATTTATGTGTCAAGGCTAAAAACTATTTTCTGAAAATGCAGTTTGCCACCCTTGGCGTAGCATTTAGATTCTGATTTTTTTGCTTTACTAGTATATTTTATTGAAAAGAAACGTGATATGTTGCCGAATAAATAACACCTTTGCGGGCATTAAGGATTGATAATGTCCTTGCGAGCATTGAAGATTACTTGATGAACAAATAACAAAATAATTATTCAAAGTTTTTTGTTCTTCATTAGAAATAGTCAATGACAAATGTATGTTGCTTTAGTTACAAACATAAACTGGACATAAATATTAATTTGTTGAGATTGCTTAACACTTCATGCTTTGAAATGATCTCATAAGTGAAATATTCCCTTCCAAAATCTTACTATTATCCTTTAAATGTTTTTTTATATAAATATAAAATAATTTTCTAAATAGATTCCGACAATCGGCACACTCTTCCTTCCAATATTCTGCTTTTACAATATAATACAGTATTAGCCCTTGCCTCTGACAGAGGATTAATAGCAATTTTCTGTAATGTGCGCTTTTTCAATAATCGAATTTCAAGAAACACATTCTGAATGTTGCAAAACAATCCACGTTTAAGCAATGGACTTTAAATACCCACTGTCATGTTTTTCTGTCGTCATATTAAAAAAAATTATGATTACGATGCGTATTTTTTGTTCACGTCTTTTAAACTAAAGAAATATCATATGCCTATTTCTGTTTGAATCAACAACAAAGAAATAAACCATTCAGCAGTCTGTACTCAACGCGCGTTATTTCATATTTAGGCCCCGCGGGCGACTTTCAAATCCTTAGGTCAGAGGCCGGAAAATGTCAATTTTACGGATAAAAAACTGTTCCTAAAATATAACATGAAAGGTGAATATACATGTTTAATATTTCAAAAATGATCAAATCAAACGGAATAATATATTCCCAACATTATTTGATAATCAGCGTCTATCTCTATCTCGTTTTCGAACGAAGCGCCGTTTGACACAAGTAAAGCGTGCCATCTACTGGAAGTTAACGAAACTCTTAGCACAGCTCTCGATGTCTCACAGTTTTACTTTCCAACCACAAGATAGCAGCTCTATTCTCGTCACCGCCAAAACGTACCAACAGCAACGTTATACCGAGATCAATGGAAAATTTGTATCCAAGAATGTAATATGTGTTCGCACGAATAGATTTTTCAATTTGTTCAAATTACGATCTTATTATTGTTTTCTCGCAATTTGCTTCCGCAGTACATTACTTCATCGCGTACTGCATACGTAGTAGAGAGAAAGTATTGCAATGTTGCGCAGGGAAAACGGCGATTTTTCGTCAGAAAAAGTATTGCTAGACCTTTTCTTGTTCCTACTACATACAGGAACAAGATATATCTTGGTTTTTGTGTGGATAAATCGTGTTACTATATGTGCTACATGGCTTCCTCTAACACACTATGTAGTCAGAATCCATGTTTTATGTCTCCTTAATATTGGAAATCGATTGACGTCCGTCTGCCCGTCTCTCCGTCCGTCTGTCTGTCCGTTTCTCCGTCTGTCCGTCTTTCTGTGTCTGTCAGTCTGTCTGTCTTTGGGTATATGATACAAATAAGCCAAAGAAAAATAAACAAATAAAATTTTTAAAAAAACTACCAGTTAGCAAGAGCACTTCAACTATGGCCGATCTGTGATTATGTCGGCAAATGCATCGGCGGTTTTAAGTTGTGCCAACAACGCTTTTCATAGATCAATCGAATCAACCTGATTAGAGAGGTCCTACTGTACTTCGAAATCAATTTATTTATTTAAGTTTCTTTTAAAAACTGTCAAATCTCATTTCTTTAATACATTACTACGCATTTAATCCTTAATTAAATGTTTCAAAACAATTAATCGTTACTTATCATTTTTCCAAATTGAAGTATCCACTTAAGAAATATGATCTTGGCATCTTATACCTGACATCTCTGAACCTAGGGCAATGGAAAAGCTACAAAAGTTAATGTACTAGGCAGAACAATTCTAGATTATTATTCTGAGAAAGTAATTCAGCTCATTTGATGATACGGAACAGAGATGTATGCTCACAAACAGAGAAAATGCCCTGAATGCTTTTGGAAGTGTGTAAGCACTCGCGGCCATGGGTTAATGGGGGTACGTGTAGTTGGCACGTAGCACGTAGACATGCCTACGCCGTATTCCGGTCTTGTCAACCTAAGAAGTGCATTTTCTCATCGTCACACACTGGGACTGGGACATTGCAAGGAAAACACTCGCTATAATCTTGCTTCACCGGGAATCGAACCCCGGGGCGCGTACCTGAATGCCTTTGAGACAAAAATATTGACGGAGTATATTTAACCCACATTTAACCCCAAAACGCGGAGCAAGGTACATATATGAATCAAGCAGAACTCTAGGTACGTATGTGGATGGATAGATTAGTTTATTTAGCCTTCTCGGCTATTTGAAACACACATTTACAAACATTATTAACATCTATAGGTATACTCTATTAACTATTTACAAAATTAGTTTTCTACTTTCATGAATTTTATAATTTTTCTTTTAAATTATTTTATTTGTTCACAATTTTTTTTCTACCGGAAATTTATTATATATTTCAAATCATTTGTCAAATAGTCTGTTTTTTCCTGTACAGTTTTACTGAAATTAATTACTAAATGTTGAGCTTGTCATGTTTCCCTTGTTGTTTCACCTGACACTTTGTGAATTTTGTTATGTGTCTAGTATATCTAGTATTGGAGTGTCTATTGCTTTGATTTACTACTCTCATGGCTTTATTTTGTTGTATCTGAAGTTTTTAATTTCAGCTTTTGTGTTGTTGCTTAGAAATCAAAATGTAGTGCAATTATGGATTTATATATCAAACATCTTGCAAAGTCATTTATATATTGTCCAATTATGTTTAAAATATTTATCTTTTTTCAGTTTTCATTACTACGTACTCAATATAGTCATTAAAATTTAATTTACTATCGATAATTACTCTCAAATATTTCATTTTGTAGTACACCCGTTGTATTTCCTCTATGTCCGTTGTGAATAATTCATTTTCCCTTACTTCTACGATTCTTCCATTAAGTAAAATCATAAATTTAGTCTTTTCAACATTAATTATTCATTTATTTACCATTAACCATTCTTGTATTGCACTCTGCTGTTTAAATTCAATTTCCGCTTCTGTTTCTCCAAGTACATACAATAAGGTATCATTAACAAATAATTTAATTTTATTATCATTCTCAAATATGTTTATTATGTACTTGATTAGATAATTAATGTAAATTATAAACAATATTGGCCCCATAACTGACCCTTGCGGAATACCTAAATCTACGCTAATTTTGTTTGAGAAATTATTATATTTTACTTTTTGCTTTCTCTTGTTGAGATATGGAATAAACCACTTTTTAACGTCACCTTTGAATCCGTGTTTCAGAATTAGGGGTATCATAAAAAAGAGTACATGCGCAGAGGACAGGTAGAGGTCAAGGAAGTTAGTTTCGTCGATGAACTCTTGATCGGGCTGTGCTATGGCTGGGCTGTGTAAACAAACGCGTTAAGTTTTGCATACAAACACTCACTCGATGCCTCTATTTCAGGCTGCAAAGAGTAGGGCTGAAGATACGGTCATTAACATTGTATTACCTGATAGAATTTTTTTATTTATTTTATAGCGTTGAATGAATGTAATCATTGGCCCTTTTTTAGTTTATCCACTTTCTCCAAACTTTTTACATTTTCGTTTTACCTCACGTGTCCATGATCACAGTTGGAAACATCGGCTTTACACTGTTTATTTCACGCATGAAACAATCAGAAACGTCCGTTTACATTATTGGCTTCAGGTCAATCTCAATTTATAAAGGAGATTCAAAATTATCATTGGACTCGCAAGGCGAGGCATCTGTTATCCATGATGACGCTATTTCTGCGAAGAAAATATAGAAATCGACATAATTTTCAAATCATTAGACAGTTTTGTAAGTCGTGAATTTGAAAGACGTAACACGACAATTCTGGAGAGAATCCTACTGCGCATGCGCCGACATCTCGGTCAGTTTTTGTCCAGTTTCCCTTATCCATTAAGCAAATGCTGAGATGGACCCTTGTTTTGCTTCTGGACGAAAATGTAGCTTCACTATGCGCACGTTTACTTTCCTTTTGCTTGTAATGATTGGAGTAGAGGTAAAGGCGAGTTACAATTTTGTTAGCAATGCAGAAAAATCATACTTGTATTTCGTTTTCCGATGCAAATAAGTTTTCTGTTACTCGGTTACGAAAATGTATATTTTATCAAATATTTCTAATCTCGCGCTTTTTTTAAATTTATTTTTATTTATTTATTTTAAACGTTTACTCATCTTTCAACTATTTATAGTTAAAATGACGGGAAGGGAATCTGGAACTCAAGAAATCGTGCGCAGTTAGTCTTCTCCCCCATATGTCACATACAGTTTTTACAATTGTTTTACGAAATAAATCTAAATCTAAATAAATCTAAATCCAATAAGTGGGATTCGATTGACGGATCCCGTCGTTCTCCCTGTTTTGTCGTCAACGATAAATGTTTTCATAGCTTACGTTTTACGAGTTTTTGGTCGCCACCTCGAAACACGAATTTGATACTAATACACAATATGTATGGAAATAATAAAAAATACAATATTCGTAGTACCATTATAATATGAAAGGAACTTTATAGTTCAATTTTACTTAATTGGAGTTTAACTGAAATGTGTCGGGAAAGAAATAAAGTAACTTATTTGTTTGGGATTTGGAGGATATATGTATATTGATACTAAATCAATTGTCACGAAAAATTCGTTATTTATCTGCAGAACAATATATTTGCCATACATTTCCCATGCCTAATATAAACAATTTAAATACGTTATAGTAAAATTGAAGGGTTCCATTGTGAGACTCAGAAGCTATTATTTAAAGATTAAAATTATATTACTTGTTTGTATGGAACAATCAGATTTCATGGCTCATACTATCTTGGAATCCTTATAAAAGCAAAAATTGAATCATAAGAAACACAGATGCCAAGTAAAAGCGTTTAGGTATTTTTAGAGGTATTCCGTTCCAACTAGTTCCTAGTTTTACATGTTTTCGATTGTACGACATGCAAAAATTCATTTTCCTGAAGATACGTTATTTCCCATTGACGACAATGATTATAAACTACAACACTGGATTTCCCGTATTGCAAAAACTCTCTACTGATGTAATATTTTACTGACAAAACGAAAACTCAGAGACTGGGGAACCACAGCCTTACGATAGAATGCATTCTCCATGTTAATACGCTGAACTTTTGCTGCCGCGCGGTAATCTATGCTTAAGGTAAAACGTATGGCATTTTACAGGCCAAGCGACGGGATTATCCAGGAATGTCGGACTGTCAACACCAAGCGCGTCACGTTCGCAGTTAGCTCATGAGTAATCGCATCAACAAACAATCGAACAAACCATCTTGCTTGCCTGCTCGACTATTTTGTTTCCGGGCGTGCCTACTACTATGGCTATTAGCAATGGCGGCTCGTGCTTCGTCGCAGGGCTGGGCAGTCCTCAGA